CCCCGATCTGACGGGGGGCTGCTCGCCCGCCCCCTCTGACCACCTCCTTTTATTTGCACCCTCCAGCTTTCCCATGTGACCCAAACTCAGGGAACCCTGGGGGCTAAGCAGGGGAGGTGCATGTCCCTGGGGACTGCAGGGCTGGGTCATGAAGGGGAGACACCCCCTGGGCCTGGACAACTCTGCTCTCTCACCACCTCAGCACCCTCCATCCCACTGTGAACCGCTGGGCTGACGAGGACTGTCCTGAAGGGGAGACAGGGACACACAGCCACGGTAACTGTGGTCCTGTCTTCCAGCGCCTCCACTGGGAGGGGGGTTCCGGGGGCCATGCTGGGACCCTGGATGGCTCCCGCGTGCAGGCCCTGTGGTGCCTCTGCACCTCTTCTTTCTGCCAACAGCCCCCTGCCCACTCCCTTCCCAGGCCCTGTGGAGACTTGAGGACCTAGAGTTTGTCTTGTGTTTTCAAGGCATAAAAATAGGCCAGTGTGTAGAGTTCAATGGGACCCACAGGACCTGTGAGATCCGGGGCTGGTGCCCCATGGAAAGTGACACTGTGGCTGTGTAAGTGTCCCCAACACCCAGGGCAGGTCCCAGGACCAGCAGAGCCTGCCCCTGACCTCCCCCACTGGCTGCTCCAGGCTGAGAACTTCACATTGTTCATCAAAAACACTGTCACCTTCAGCAAGTTCCACTTCTCCAGGTGAGAATCGGGGGTCCTGGATGCCCCAGATCCTCTTTGTCCCCTGCCTGGCCGAACTCCCTCAGTGCCACCGCCTCTCAAGCCCAATGTCTTGGAGACCTGGGATGCCACCTATTTCAAGCGCTGCCGCTGTGACCCAGGCTTCAGCCCTACTACCCTGTGCTCCGCATCGGGGACCTTGTGGCTGCGGCTGGAGGGGTCTGTGAGGACCTGGTGTTGGTGGCTCCGTAGGGGACAGGGTTCTGGGAGGGCTTGGGGAGAGGGTCCCTGCCCGCGTGCTGGTGGAGCAGTGATGCGCTGTGTGCAGGGCGGGGCTGTGGGCATCCACGTCCACCGGGATTGTGACCTGGATGCTCGGGCTCTGACTGCGGCTCCACAACTCCTTCCAGCTGTGGGAAAGGAGCTACGACTTCAGGTGCAGCCCCACTGTCTGCCTGTCCTCCTGTGGCGGCCGGGACAGACCCCAGCTTGGCCCATCCCTCTGGACACTCTGCTGTGTGTGGAGGGCTCCCCAGGGCAGAAGGGGGTGCTCTCAGCTCCAGGTCCCCCAGCACAGGCTCCATCCAGCCTCCCTCCTGAGCCCTTCAGCCTCCATCCCATGTGTCCCCCACACCCCTGCTGCAGCTGGGACCCCTCACCCCAGCCCCTCCTCCACTCTACCCTGCCTCCGGAATCTCCCTCCATGGAACAGCAGGGTTTCTTTACTTTTCCCTTAAGGTTTTATGTAAAAAATTACAAGAATCTATAGAAAACATCAAAGATTAGTGCTGTGAAAACCCAGATAGCCTTCACCTGGGTTCACCAGGTTTGTTTTTTTTTTTTTACCATTTTGCCCCATTTGCTTTCTCTCTCCCTCTCTAGAGGGAGCTGGATATATGTAGATAGATTTCACAGGAAACCATTGGAAAGTAAGTGACAGATATCCAGACACTCACCCCTCTCAAGGCTGCCCTGAGAATGAGGACCTTCCCCAGGTGACCCCTGGCCACTTGTTACACTCAGGAAATCTAACATTGACAGATAAATCTAATATGTACATTTCCCCAGCTGTGCCAATAACAGTCTTAAATCTTTTTAGTTTCCCATCCAGGATGAGCTCAAGGATCTTGTGTTGCATGCATTGTCCTGTCTTTGAGTCTCCTAAGCAGACCCCCCCCATCCTTCTGTCACCTCATGTCACCTCATCACCCTCATGCATACGTGCACACAGCCCCCAGGCCTGGAGGTGATGCCCCTGACACTACCTGCTGGGCCCAGCCTGGCCTAGCATTGCTGACCTCCCCAGCCCTTTGCAACCATGTGGGGCTGGACCCCACCCATGCCCTGCTCCCCTCACCCTGGGCTCTCGCCCGCCCTACATCTCTGCCTAGAACTCTTTCCTGACCCCTGGAAAACCAACCTAAGAGTCTCCCAGCAGGAAGACTTCCCTGGTTCCTAGGAGAGAGTGAGTGCCCCTCTCTGGATCCTGACAGACTGGGCCTGCAACCCTCCCCCACCTCCACTGCTGGTGTCTGTTTAGAGACCCTTCTGTCACTGTCCCTTCAGCAGGCAGGGAGCTTCTGAGAGGCTGCTGCCAGCTTGCTTGTCCCCTGGGTCCTCAGCAATGACACAGGGCTGAGACCCAGGACTCAGGCTGGGGGTGGATGGAATCAATGGATGAGGAAGATGAGGCCTGTGAGGGCCAGCCCAGCCCAGGAGTGGGCAGAGCAGGCCACTAGACTCTCTCCTGCCCCAGGACAGCCGCTCACTGGTGGGAGGCCTCAGGAGTGGAGGCCCAGGGCCTGCTCAATCTCTACAGGATCCTCTTCAACATCCTTGTCACTGGGCAGGTAGGGACCAGGCTGGGGCAGATCTTGGTGGACAGGGGTGACAGCCACAGCCAGAGAGGTTCAGCACCGGTCTCCCTCAGGCAGGGAAGTTCAGGCTCATCCCCACAACCCTCACTCTGGGCACCGGAGTGGCTTGGCTGGGTGTGGTGAGCGTGGCCAATGTGTCTCCCTCTGGCTGCCAGCAAGCATGTGCCCCCCGAGTGTACACCTGAGCCCCCTGTGTTGACACTGAGTCTCGAGGTGAGGGCTGGGGAGGCAGCAGGATGGCAGGTTGGGGGCCAGGATGTGGGTCTGCCCTGCCTCTCCCAGATCACCTTCACTTGTGACCTGCTGCTGTTGTACGTGGACGGGGAAGCCCATTTCCCCTGGAGGACCAAGTCTGAGGAGGGGAGATGTGCACCTGCCTGGACCCTGGGCCACACTTTGGAGGATGGTGGCTGGAGCCCCAGCCTGCCGTCCTCATCTGCAGGCAAAGACCCCAAAGGGCACTGCCAACCCTGAGCAGACAGAGCCGGCTTCCCACCCCCACACCCGGCTGCCCAGGTGCCTTAGGGGGGGCCCAGCACCTGCCCCCACTGTGCTGCTGGGAGCTGGACACTGTCACCAGGGTGGCCCTGGCACCCACTTGCTGGCCCATTCCTGAGGTTGGGGGTTGGGGGCTGGGAAGGCTGGGGGTCCAAACTTGGTGACTCATGGATGAAGCCCAGCAGGACCAGGGCAGGGGGTGGGGGGAGAATTCCACCCTTCGGCTCCCAGATAGACTGTCCCTCCACTACTCCAGCCTCAGTAGGCTGCTGCCTGGGACCACAGATCCAGTTTTGTACAGAGACCTGCAGGGGAACTCAACACAGGGCGCTGGTCCAGTGGGGCTCCTGCTGGGTCTGGTCTGGAGAACGCTCTCCCAGTCTGTCTCCAGTGTTCCCAGCAGCTCCCCCATCACCTGCTGTCCCCACACTGGCTGTGGTCAACTCCGGCCCTGCCTGGCTCCCAGCTGCCCTCCCACTGCCAGCACTCCCCTCACAGTAGAGCCCCTCCCCTCTCAGCGGCCCTGCATGGGGGTCGGTGCAGCCAGAGTCCAAGGCAAGGAAGAAGGAAGCCTGACAGGAGTTATCTCAGCTGCTCTGGGACTGGGTTCCTAGGGCAGGTCTCCTCCCAGCTCTGGGCCTCATCCATGGAGTGAGGAGTGTGGTGGGCAGATGATCCGACCCACTAGGACCCCAGGGAAGGGCACAGGAGCCTCTTGGTCCCAAACATGCTGAGCTTGTGAGCACCAGCCCCTTCCTGGTGGCAGCCCTCAGGCTGTGGAGAGCTGGGATGGGGGAGGAGAGAGGGGCTGAGCTGGTGGGCACCTTCTATATGTCTCCTTGGTGACCCCAGCCCACTGCCCAGGAACCTGCTCACCAGGCTTCCTGGGAGCCATGGGGTGGGGAGGCTGTATATCTGGACACATATGTCACTGCTGCCTAAGGTCACACCTGAGAGCATGTCTGGGCAGCTGCCCACCCCAGCCTGAGGCAGCTACACAAGGACCACGCTCTGATCGAGATCCCAGGTGGAGCCCAGGGGCAGGAAAGAATGTCCCTAACAGAGGACATGGAAGCCACCAGTAGACTGGCCTGCTCCTGGCTCTGGAATCCTCCCAGGGGCCTGAGTCTTGTCTGCTGGAGAATTTCCCGGTGCCCCCGGGCCCACAGTCAGGAGGGGAGGGATGGGAGCTATAGGAGCCAAGGCCTCTCTTGGTTCTAAGGAAGGGCAGGGATTTGGGGGTACCCACCCCAGGGAGACAAGGGGCTGCCTTCTCATGAGTCCCTGGTGACTAGGGACATGCTGGCAGCTTGCTGGTGGAGGGACATGGGCCAGGTTGGGGAGGGCCAGGGCTGGGGCTCAGGCTGGCAGCATCTAGAATCATCTGGCACCTGGAGCCTCAGCAAAGCCTTGGGGTCCCTGCTCCTCTCAAGCCCCAGAGCCGTGTCCGTGGGAGGTGGGTTCAGAAGGGCCAGGGTGAGAGAACACGGCCCTGAGCCTGGTTATTGGAGCAGGGTCACGGGTACCTGGCTGTCCTTGGGGCCCAGAGAAAGCTGAGGTCAAGGCTGCAGAGAGCCGAGGAGTAAAGCTGCCAGAGCCAGCAGCTTTCTGTGTGGTCCTTACAGGCAGGAACAGGGAGGGGGAGGCGTCTATGGCAGACATAGCATGGCCTTGTGGAGACCAGTGGGGGTGCAGGGTGGGCCTGGGGACCTGCAAGGATGGGGGCCCACTGCCGTCAGGTGGGCTGGAAGGTACCTGGAGCAGGCCCAGGTGCTTGTGCCCCCACCTGCATGCGTGTGTCCCCTCCTGAGCCCTTGTCACAAAGGCCTGAGGGGCGGGCAGGGGGAGAGGCAGCTGGGGAGCTGCGGGCAGCCCTGAGCTTGGAACCAGCTGTGCCTCAGTCTGCATGTGGGTGTGCACCCCCAGGGGAGCCGTGTGGGCAGGAGGGCCTGTGCCTGAGAGATGCATGTACCCAGGCAGGTGGGCCTCTACACCTAGTGCAGGCCTCAGGCACATGCCCTGCTCTCTGGGAGCCCTGGGAAACCAAGGGAACCACTGAACTCCACTGTCCTTTCTAGGCAGCCTCCTTGGGGTCCAGGCTCTGCTCTCTGTATCTGCCCCCAAGGGGACATGTGGGGAACCTGACTCCACCCTCCCAGGGCCCCCTCTGTGCCTGGTGTTTGTAGGCTCCCCTCTGAGCTGGGCAGAAGGCACTGGCCTGATGGCTGGACCCTGGGACCCAGGCCTTGCCGTGTCCCTGATTCAGGCTGTCCCATGGCTGACGCCTCTCTCCTTACAGAACCTTGGCAACTTGCTGTGGACTGGGGACAATCACCTGGTTCCTGAGGGCAGGTGAGGACTCAGTGCCACAAAGAACACCACAGTGGACACGGCAATAGGCCACGTAGCTGGCCGAGCAGTTATTATTGTGCATCCCTGGGGCTGGGGCCCTCTTCCCTGCCCGCCCTTCTCCACCTGCCCAGGTAGCTGGAGTTGGTCATAAACTGGAAGGCGCTGGGCAAAGAGTCCACCACACCAGCGCTGGCCACAGTCCACTCCCAAAGACGTGAAGCTCAGCACCTGGGCTAAGGTCCAGAGGTCCTGAGGACCCCCAGCATGGACAGGCCTGCAAACGTGAGCTGCCTCAGATAGAAGGGACTTCCAGCCAGTCAGGCCTCTCAAGGAAGTAGGGGACGGCAGGCCCAGAGCAATCCTCATGGACTGGTGGGCTGCTCTGTGAGGCCAGGCTCCTGGGCTGGTGTCTGGCTGGGGGGCTGCAGGGCCTGCACCGTCTCCTCCAGGCTGCCGCGTGGGGCAGTCAACCTCGGCCGCTCCCGCTGGTTCTCCTTGCTGTGCCAGATGCCGTAGCCAAAATATACTGCGAGTCCTGCAAGGGTGACACAAGTCTGAGGGGCAGGTCCCAGCCCTGCTTCCCTGCTGGCCCTCCTCCTGCAGCCCACCCCAGGCTCCCAGCCTGGCCCCCACTCACCAATCAGCAGCCAGATGGAGAGGCATAGCCAGGACAGGTAGCTCAGGTGCAGCATGAGGAAGATGTTGAGGAGGATGCTCAGGGCTGGAGTCAGGGGCACCAGGGGAACCTGAGGGGCAAGGGCAGGGCTGGGCTGGGCTGTGGGAATGTCTGCTGGCCCAGAGCCTGATTTCTCAGGAGTCCACAGAGCCTTCTCCACCTCTGGAGATTCTGGAGACAAGGGCCCACTCACCATGCAGAAAGAGGGTGATGGGGGACGGGCCTCCCCAGCCCTGGGAGCCCTGGTGCATCCTGCCACAGCAGAGGAGGAAGGGGCGAGGTGAGCTGGCTGGGCTGAGAGTGAGGGGTGTTGGCTGGAGGAAGTACCTGGAAGGTGTCCTGTCGGCGCTGTTGCTGGTGGGCCCCCAGGACGAGGAGACTGAGCAGAAACATGACGGAGCTGAGCAGGAGCAGCAGGGTGTACCCCCAGAGAGGGAGGTGCAGGGCCGGGTCCCCGAAGACCAGCACGCAGTCCAGAGTGATGGCTGAGGCCACCAGGACACCGAGTGCCCAAGCCACAGCAGCTCCAGGCCGGCACCCACCCAGGAAGCCTAGGTAGGTCCTCAGGGCTGGTCGCAGCTGCCCGGGCTCAGGGGCTGAGGCCTGCTCTGTGCCCACAGGGCTGACTAGGCCCAGCGAATTGGAGGGAGGGGCCTTTTGGAAGCGTAGCACAGCAATGCTGGTGGCCACAAAGGTGTAGGCCAGCAGTGCGCTGATGGACAGGAACTGGACCAGCGCCTCGAGGTCCAGCAGCAGCGCCAGGAAAGCCATGAGGACCCCAAACACCAGAATGCCCACCACAGGCACCTGTGTCCGGGGGTGCCCGTGGGCAAACACCTGGAATAAGAGCCCATCGGCGGCCATGGCACAGGTTGTGTGTGTCAGGAAATAGTTGAAGATGAGCAGGACAGCGGTCATGGCTGTGACAGAGGGTGGGAGACTGGTCAGCATGGTGGACAGGCCCACCAGGGGCTACTGCTGGGGCCAGGGCAGGGGTGGCTCCTGGCAACATAGGTATATGTTTGTCTGGGCTCTCAGAGTGAGCCTGAGTGTTTGTGGGGTGCTGGGTTTTTCCCCCTTACCTCCCAGAAATGAGAAACCCCAGTTTAGGTGACAGACCCACTGGAGAATCTGATGAGGGCTGAGTCTCTCTGTCGAGAAAGGACCTGGAAGCACGTGCCCAGAACTGACATTCTATGTACAATTGGGAGGGGCAGTGAGTACTTCCCTCCCAACAAGCCCGGGTGGAGAATCTAATCATTAGCCCATTCCTGGCCCCATGATGAAGCTGGGAACACAGGCCCAGATGGAGACGTTCCCTGGGAGGCTTAGGGCAGGGCCCCACCATCCTGGTCCCTCCCACCTTGTCTGGAAGGGCCCCTTACCGAAGATTGCGCCAGCTGCCACGATGAAGCCCGCCCAGCTATAGCCCCGCTGGTAGAAGGCATCAGCAAGCACAGAGTCAGGGTCCAGGCTGTGCCAGGGCACCATGAGTGTGAGCACAGTGGAAACAAGGATGTAGGCACCAGCCACCAGGCCAAGTGAGATGGCGATGGCCATGGGCACGGCTCGCTTCGGGTTCCAGGCCTCCTTGCTGGAGGCGGCAATGACACCAAAGCCCTCAAATGCATAGAAGCAAGTCGCGGCGGCGGCCATGATGCCAGAGAAGCCGAAGGGTGCAAAGCCGCCCTCCTCAGCACTCCAGTTGTGTGGGCGGGCCAGGACAAATCCCATGACAATGATGAAAACGATGACGACCAGGTTGACAACAGAGAACGTGTAGTTGAGCCAGTAAGAGATGCGGACTCCACAGGAGATCGATGCCGAGGCCAAAAGTATGATGCCAGCAGCCAAGAAGTCTGGGTACTGGGACAGGAAGGGCACCTGCCAGATGCCCACATAGGCCACAGTGAAGCCACGGATGCGGTGGCTGAAGATGGAGTCCAAGTAGCCACTCCAGACACGGCCCATGGCCGTGCCACCACTGAGGCACTGGAAGAGCACATTCCAGCCAATGAGGAAGGCCCACAGCTCACCCATGGACATGTAAGTGAACAGGTAGAAAGTGCCAGCACAGGGCACACATATCACGAACTCCGCATAGCATAGGGTTGCCAGCAGTGAGGCCACGGCAGCCACGCCGAAGGACACGAGCACTGCAGGGCCGGCCATCTCCTTGGCCATGGGGCCATTGACTATGTAGAAGCCAGAGCCCACCATGCCACCCACACCCAGCAAGGTCAGGTGCAGCATGGTCAGGTGGCGCCGCAGCGACGTCTCCCTGGTGGGCTCCTCCACTGTCTTCAGTCGGTTCAGCTTCTGGCAGAAGTGCACCAGGCTGGTGGTGCTGGGCAGCCCCCGGTCCATGGTAGGCAGCTGAGAGGAGCACCAAGCCAGCTGCCGGCACCTACCAGGGGGAGACAAGAGTGACAGGCTGCCCAGCTAAGTCCTGACCAGCCTTCAGTCCTTGCTCTAACCCTGCCATGGGGACCCAAGCCTGGAATCACTGGCCAGCTGGAGGGCTGGATGAGGCAGGGGTCAGGGCCTGCCAGCAGGGTGGGCAGGAGGTCACAGAGAAGCATGGGGATCCCTTTGGCCTGCCTCCTGAGCAAGGGAGAGAGCCTGGTGGTGGGGAACTGGGTGTGTTTCGGAGGGGTCCTGAGGGTGGGGAGGGAGCAGTGCCAAGGAGCCACCTAGGAACTGCTCCAGTGGTCTGGGATCCCAGAGCAGGGTGGAAACCTGAGGCTTCCCTGGAGCTGGGCCTCAGACAGCGAAGTTCACCCTCCATCCACCGCCCTGCCAGGCTGGTATATCAATGCACCCTGCTGGGAATGGGGGTGCCCTGGGCCCTGTGCCTGAAGCCAAGGTCCCGCCTCTCACCCTGAGATATCACCACCACACCCTTGCCAGTCACTTCATCCATACCCCTGTCCCCAGGTACATGAGCCTTCACCTCCTCTTCTGCCTGAGTCTGTCCACACAAGACTTGCTGTGACTCACCTGCTATCACTGTCACCTCTCTGCCCACAGGGACTGTGCCCATCCCTGGGTGCCAAATCCAGCACTCGGCCCTGCCTCTTGGTCACAGAGGCACTTAGCCCACCCTACTCATACCTCAAAGGGTGAAGACCAGCGCTCACCAGGTTCTAGGAAAAGCATATTACTGTGCCCGGTTCACAGATGAAGAAGCCCAGGCCTCCACGTAAGTGACTAGATCAGGTCACCTGGGTGGCCTCCAGATTCCAGTGGAGGTTAAGGTCCAGGTCTGGGGGTAGGCTCTGGAGCCCACCCGCTTTCCCTGCTGCAGACACCCTCCTTGATTCCTCATCCCAACACACGTACTCCACCAGCTGGGCACCATCCAGGCCCCTCAACACTGGGAGGTGTGGGGGCTGCAGGCATCAGGTGAGACTCTGGTAAGATGAGGGTATGAATCTGGCTGAGAGGCCCTGGGCAGTCCGTGACCTCCCAGCACAATGGGATGGCAGGAAGCCACCCTCATCCACTGACGAGGGAGTGCCCGGCTTTGGGGAGTGTTCTGTGAATCGGCAGAACTCATGCTGGCTGTTCTGAGCTTCTAGCTACAGACTGTGTCCTGAAAGGAGGTGAGCAGACTCCTGGGGATGACTACAGCCCTCCAGCTGGGGGCACCCTAGGGCCCCTCAGACACCAATGGCAGCCCCTCCTAGCCCAGGGGCACCTGTCAAGCCTGGAGGACCCTGGGGGACCCTAACAGCAGCTCCCCACTTGTGGATATCCGTGAGAGTATCATGGACTGATCATCTACTCCATGCCAGTCCCCGCATCACAGGAGCACATCACGTGTCTCATCACATGACCATGACAACCACCCCCCCAGGCTTATTTATTCCTGGGGCTGAGAGGTGTTTGTAGTCCTGCTCCTTCCACTTTTTGAAAGTGGAAAGATTGGTGTGACAGGGTGTTAAATTGTTTACAGCAAAATGATCACGATCCATCCAAGCAAAGCAAAACTAAAACAGACATCCTCTTCCCCCAGAACTTTCTCCATGTTGTTAGGTTTATATGTGGTTTGTGGCATACGATTTAGGGGCACCTGCAGGCTGTCTGCCTCAGTGCACTGGTGACAGGATGGTGGACTCCCAGACAAGATGGTGCCACTTAGAATACTCTGCCTTAGCCAGCCCCAGTGCTCCTTCTGATATTTGGCTGATGTTGTCTTGAGGAACTTCTCAGACGGGGTCCCACTTGCTGCAGGGATGACACCTCCCTTACCTGACTCCTGTGGGGCCTAAATGTAACTGAGCAGATATTCCTGTTCTGAAACGCCTTCATAAAAACCCAGAAAAATGCATTTCCAACCAAGAGTCTTGGGCAATTTTGTAACAGGAGCTCCCTTAAGGCCTTACTTATGACCACTTGAGAGCTGGTGTGCAGGGTTTCAGAGCACTGACTTGTTATCTACCCAGAGAGCAGCTGTCACCACACCTACTTTCACAGGCACCAACATCCAATGGATAGTCGTGGCCAAGCGTGGTTGATGCAATGAACTGGAAACTCCCAGGGGTATGGCTGGGCTGTGTTCTGGACCCCACTGAGCAAGGCTGTTACACAGAGCAACACCATGAAAATGCAGTAAAGATAAAGCACCAAAAAATGCAAGAAGAAGAGAGAACGTTCCCACCTCATCCTACAAAGCCAGGATCACCCTGACACCAAATCCAACAAAGACATCACAAGAAAAGAAAAGTACACACTAATATCTCTTATGAATATAGATGCAGAATTGCTCTACTAAATACTAGCAAATCACATCCAGCAACATATAAAATGGACCAAGTGATATTTATCCAAGGAATGCAAGTTTGATCTAATATATGAGAATCAATGTGATATGTCATTCTAATAAATTAAAGGACAAAAACCACATGGTCATCTCAACAGACACAGAGAAATAGTCAACAAACTGGAACAGAAGAGACCACACTTGAACTGATAAAGACCATCTACAAAACACCCTGGGCTACCATACTCAATGGTGAGAGACTGAAAGCTCTCCCTTTGATCAGGAACAACATCAGGATGTCCTCTCTCACCACTTGTCTTCAACATTTTACTGGAGGCTCTGGCCATGGCAATTAGGTGAGAACAGGAAAAAAGAGGAATCCAGACTGGAAAGGAGGAAGCAAAACTATCTCTAGCCACAGATGACATGATCTCATGTTGAGAAAATCCTAAGGAATCCACACGAAAATATTAGAACTAATAAACAAGTTCAGCAAAGGTGCAGGATATAAGATCAACATACAAAAATCAATTGTACTTCTATACACTAGCAATGAACTATCCAGAAAGGAAGTTAAGAAAACAATTCTACCTACATAGCATCAAAAAGAATACATTTATCTATCAACATACTTTGAATAAATTTAACAAAAGAAATGTAAGACTTGTGCACTGACAACTACTAAACATTATAGAAAAAAGTAAAAGAAGACCTAAATAAGTGGAAAGACATCCCACCTTCATGGGCTGGAAACTTAATATTGTTAAGAAGGCAAGGGGCCAGCCCCGTGGCTTAGCGGTTAAGTGCGTGCGCTCCACTACTGGCGGCCCGGGTTGGATCCCGGGCGCACACCGACGCACCGTTTCTCCGGCCACGCTGAGGCCACGTCCCACATACAGCAACTAGAAGGATGTGCAACTATGACATACAACTATCTACTGGGGCTTTGGGGAGAAAAAAAGGGGAGGAGGATTGGCAATAGATGTTAGCTCAGAGCCGGTCTTTCTCAGCAAAAAGAGGAGGATTAGCACAGATGTTAGCTCAGGGCTGATCTTCCTCACAAAAAAAAAAAAAAAAAGAAGGCAATACTCCCCAAATTGATCTGCAGATTCAGTGGAATCCCTATCAAAATCCCAACTGCCTATTTTGCAGAAATTATCAAGTTGGTCCTAAAATTCATATGGAGATGGAGGGGACCCAGAAGAGCCAAAACAATTTTGAAAAAGAACAAAGTTGCAGGACTTACACGTTCAGATTTCTAACAGACTCTAAAGCTACAGGAATCAAGACAGTGTGTTACTGACATAAGGATAGACATAGATCAATGGAATAGAATTGAGAGTCTAAAAATATGGGCAATTAATTTTTAAAAATTTATGACCAATTGATTTTTTAAAAATAGACTTTTCTGTTTATTTTTAAGAATAAAGTAAGGTGGAGTTCCCATATACACCCAGCCCCTACACATGCACAGCCTCCTCCACTATCAACATGCCCACCAGATTGGTACATTTGCTATAACTAATGAACCTACATTGACATGTCATTATAACCTAAAGTCCATAGTTTACATTAGGGCTCACTCTTGATGTTGTACATCCCATGGGTTTCGACAAATGTGTAAGGACATGTGTACACTGTTAACAGTATGCCCTAAAAATCCTCCCTGCTTCACTTACTCATCCCTCCCTCCCCACTAACGCCTGGTATCCACAGATATTTTCATTGTCTCCACAGTTTTGCCTTTCCAGAATGTCATATAGTGACAATCAAATCATACAGTATGTAGCCTTTTCAGATTGGCCTTTTTCACTTAGTCATATGCATTTAAGGTTGTCTTATGTCTTTTCATGTCTTGATAGCTACTTTCTTTTCAGCACTGAGTAGTATTTCTGGTCTGGATGGACCACAGTTTTCTTATTCATTCACCTACTGATGGACATCATGGTTGCTTCCAAGTTTTGGCAATTATGAATGAAGCTGTTATAAACATCCATGTGCAGGTTTTTGTGTGGACATAAGTTTTCAACTCATTTGGGTCACTACCAAGGAGTGTGGTTGCTGATTCATATGGTAAAAGTATGTTTAGTTTTGTAAGAAATTTCCAAACTGTCTTCCAAAATGCCTGTGCCATATTGCATTCCCACCAGCAATGAAGGAGCGTTCCTGTTGCTCCACGTCCTCAGCAACATTGGGTGCTGTCAGTGCACTGGATTTTTGCCATTCTAACAGGTGTGTAGTGGTATCTCATTGTTGCTTTAATTTGCATTCCCTAGTGATATATGATGTGGAGCATCTTTCCATAGGCTTATTTGCCAACTGTGTATCTTCTTTGGTGTGGTGTCTGTTCAGAAGCTTGCCCATTTTATATTGGGTTGTTGGTTTTCTTACTGTTAATTTTTTGAGTTCTTTGTATATTTGGGGTAACAATTTTTATCAGATATTCTTTTACAAATAGTTTCTCCTAGTCTGTGCCTTGTCTTTTCATTCTCTTGATGGCCAACTGATTTTTGATGAGTGCCAAAACAGCTCAATGGGGGGAAACAATAGTCCTTTCAACACACTGTGCTGCAACAACTAGATATCCACATGCAAATGAATGAAGTCAGACTCCTGCCTCACACCACACACAAAATTAACTCAAAATGGATCAAAGACCTAAACCTAGGAGCTGAAAATATACAGGCATAACTTGGATATATTGTGGGTTTGGTTCCAGACCACTGCAATAAAATGAACATCACAATAAAGGGAGGGGCCGGCCCCATGGCTTAGTGGTTAAGTGAGCATGCTCCGCTGCTGGCAGCCCGGGTTTGGATCCCGGGTGCTCACTGACGCACCGCTTCTCCGGCCATGCTGAGGCCGAGTCCCACATACAGCAACTGGAAGGACGTGCAGCTATGACATGCAACTATCTACTGGGGCTTTGGGGGAAAAAAATAAATAAATAAAATTTAAAAAAAAAACAATAAAGGGAGTCACATGAATTTTTTGGTTCCCCAATGCATATAAAAGCTATTTTTACACTATACTGTAGTCTATTGTGTGAAAAACATGTCTAAGAAAAGAAAGTACATACATTAATTTAAAAATACCTTATAGCTTAAAAAATGCTAACCATCATCTGAACCTTCAATGAGTTGTAATCTTTTTGCTGAGGGAGGGTCTTGCCTCGATGTTGATGGCAGCTGACTGATCAAGGTAGTGGCTGCTGGAGGTTGGGATGGCTGTGGCAATTTCTTCAAATAAGCCAACAATGAAGTTTGCCGCAATGATCGACTCTTCCTTTCATGAAAAATTTCTCTGTAGCACGCGGTGCTGTTGGATAGCATTTTACTCACACTAGAACTTCTTTCAAAATTGGAATCAGTCTTCTGAAAACTTGTCGCTGGTTTATCAACTAAGTTTATGTAATACTCTAAATCTCTAGTTGTCATTTCAACAGTCTTCTTCACCAGGAGTAGATTCCATCTCAAGAAACCACATTCTTTTCTCATCCATAAGAAGCAAATCCTCATCCCTCAAAGTTTTATCATGAGATTGCAGCAATTCAGTCACATCTTTAGGCTCCACTTCTAATTCTAGTTCTCTTGCTATTTCCACCACATCTGCAGTTACTCCCTCCACTGAAGTCTTGAACCCCTCAAAGTCATCCATGAGGGTTGGAATCGACTTCTTCCAAACTCGTTAATGTTGATATTTTGATTTCTTCTCATGAATCACAAATGTTCTTAAAGACATGTAGAATGGTGAATCCTTTCCAGAGGATTTTCAATTTACTTTGCCCAGATCCATCAGAGGAGTCACTGTCTATGGAAGCTATAGCCTTATGAAATGTATTTCTTAAATAGTAAGACTTGAAACTCAAAATTATTCCTTGATCCCTGATCAAAATACCTGCCCAGATCCTGCAGAATGGATGTTGTGTTAGCAGGCATGAAAACAATATCAATCCCATTGTACATCTCCATCAGAGCTCTTGGTGACCAGGTGCATTGTCAATGAGCAGTAATATTTTGAAAGGAACCTTTTTTTGCAAGCAGTAGGTCTCAAGAGTGGGCTTAAAAATATTCAGTAAACCATGTTGTAAACAGATTGTGCTATCTTCTAGAGTTTGTTGTTCCATTTATGGAGCACAGGCAGAGTATTTAGCACAATCGTTAAGGGTCCTAGGATTTTCAGAATGGTACATGAGCATTGGCTTCAACTTAAAGTCACCAGCTGCATTACCCCTAACAAGAGAGTCAGCCTATCCTTTGAGGCTTTGAAGCCAGGCATTGACTTCTCTCTAGCAATGAAAGTCCTAGATGGCCTCTTCTTCCAATATAAGGCTGTTTCATCTACATCAAAACTCTGTTCTTTACACTAGCCATCTTCATTAACAATCTTAGCTAGATCTTCTGGATAATTTGCTTCAGTTTTTTGTTGTTGTTGTTTTTGAGGAAGATTGGTCTTGAGCTAAAATCTGTTGCCAATCTTCCACTTTTGTTTTCTTTTTTTCTCCCCAAAGCCCTCAGTACATAGTTGTATATCCTAGTTGTAGGTCCGTCTAATTCTTCTATGTGGGACACAACCTCAGTGTGGCTTCATGAGCAGTGAGTATGTCCGCACTCAGGATCCAAACGGTGAACCCCAGGCTGCCAAAGAGGATTGCACGAACTCAACCGCTGAGCCAACGAGCCGGCCCCCTTGCTGCAGCTTTTAATCAGCACTTGCTGCTGCACCTTGCAGTTTTACATTATGGAGATAGCTTCTTTCCTTAAACCTCATGAACCAAGTTCTGCTACCTTCAAACTTTTTTTTCTGTATCTTCCTTACCTCTCTCAGCCTTCACAGAATTGAAGGGAGTGAGGGCCTTGCTCTGGATTAGTCTTTGGCTTAAGCAGATGTTGTGGCTGGTTTGATCTTCTATCCAGACCATTAAAACTTTCTCCATATCAGCAATAACGCTGTTTTGCTTTTATCATTTATGTGTTCACTGGAGTAGCACTTTTAATTTCCTTCAATAACTTTTCCTTCACATTCACAGCTTAGCTAACTCTTTGCTGCAAAAGGCCTATCTTGGCTTTTGACGTTCCTTCCTCACTAAGCTTAGTCATTTCTAGCTTTTGATGTAAAGTGAGAGACCTGTGACTCTTCCTTTCGCTCGAACACTTAGAGGCCATCGTAGGGTTATTAACTGGCCTAATTTCAATATTGCTGTGTCTCAGGCAATAGGGAGGCCTGAGGAGAGGGAGAGAGACGGGAGAATGGCTGGCCTGTGGAGCAGTCAGAACACACACAACATTTATCAATTAAACCTGCTATCTTATATGGGTGAGGTTCATGGCACCCCAAACAATTACAATACTAACATCGAAGATCATTGATCACAGATCACCATAACAAATTAATATTAATGAAAAAGTTTGAAACATTGTGAGAATTAGTAAAATGTGACACAAAGACACAAAGTGAGCAAATGCTGTTGGAATAATGTTGCCCATAGACTTGCTTGATGCTGGGTTGCCACAAACCTTTGACAATGTTCAGGATTCAGGACAGGCCGTCCCAAGATGTGTCACCCTGGTATGGGAATTATTTTAAGCTGAAGGCAATCAAGGGTCAGAAGACTCTGGAAGAACATTTGACCTTCCCCCAAATTGCCTAAAAGAATTTAAGATAGAAGGGCCTGTTCCTGGAAGGAGCTCTTACCATGGATAATTCTAGATATGGTAGGCAGGAAGGCATCTAGCAAGGGCCATTTTATCAAAAGATCTCTTTTGGGTCCCATTGTCTATAGATAGGACAATGCAAACATGTGTTTACCAAATATGAACTCTTTCCATCTTCTTGTTAATTGCCTACTCTCCCTTTGAAGTCTCAGATCTCTATCTCCCTCTCCTTAGTCCAGGAGGACATAGATACCTCATTTTGCCTGTCTTTGGAATTCTCTGTGCTTATGTGAATTCTCTGTATATATGTATTAAACTGTGTTTGATTTTCTCCTGCTATCCTGTCTTATGTCATTTTTAATTCTTTGACCAGCCAAAGGAACCAGAAAGGTAAAAGGGGAGGAATTCTCCCTTGTCCCCTACAGTTGTGGTATAGCTGGCAGGATCTCCACTGGCTGGCAAGCTGCCTTCTCTGGCTGGAAGAACTGCTTTCTCTCTAAGATGACTGCAAATGAGGGGATCCTGTGTCACCTGATGAAGACCAGAAAGAGGTAAGATTTCTGACCACGTCAGCATCCCGGAGTCTCTATCTGTGGGGTCTGGTGAAAGCGAGTGGTGAGATTTTTTTTCTCTTTCTAGATTCAGATTTGCAGGAGAAAATATTTGGGAAACTAGTTTCTTGTGCTTTTTAGCGACTCTGACAAATTTGGTAGAGTACTCTTGGCTTTATTGATCCTTTTCCTTCCAGAGATGGTCACTGTTTTTTTCTTTTTTGTCTCTGTCTTTTGTGTTATATGTCATAAGAAGGAAGTACCATAGGGCAGGATGCTGGCATAGGCCCTATAAGCCTGTTGTCCATCCCGGCCCCACAGGCTGGTGAGTTTGCAGTCTCACCAGACTGGCGTCTATTTAGACAAACATTGCTGTGTGTTCATATGCACATGAGGTAAAAGCTGTTGCTAAAGGATATCTTGGAAGCCAAAAGGCTGCAATATTGTTGGGCACAGGTTGAGCAGTTAAGAGCCATCAGTGTTCTTGCTGCCTCAAGAAGACTCCTGTGATAGGGTAAGTTGGTCAAGGAACAGAGTAGATGACAACTGGTCAGCTGCCACCCTCAAGAAAATTTCCATGCAACGATGTACTCTGTAAAACACACCCAACCCCCAACCCTGTGGCACATCCCTCCTAGGTATTAGTTTGGCTGTAAGAGACCCAAGGCATTGCTAAAGCTGTTATTATGCATACAAGAAAAAAAAAAAAGGATGAGGTTTTTCCTTCTGTCTTGTGCTATGTCTTGAGAACTTGGCTTTTTGACTAGTGAGAAGATTCTCCTTGGTCTCCACTACCCAGAAGGTGCATTCTCTGGAGTGCACCTTGGTGGCCAGTCAAATAGACTGGGCTTCCGAGCACTCTCTGTCTGGCTGTGCCAAGCTCTCAGGGGAGTTTGTCACAAAGCATCCAATCCATAAAGGCCTTTGTCATCTCAACCTTCCTTGCTTGTTAGTGCTGAAAAAATCCCTTTCCAGTAGTGACTGCCTGGTGTCACAGATTAGTGGGTCTGTGACTGGAGGCGCCCGTGCTCTCATGGGAGACTGGAGACACTGTTTTCTCTACACCATCCTTACCACCTGTGCAATGACGGTCTTTCATCTCTCTGACTATTTTGGGGAGTGAATTTTTCAAATCATGGGGGCCACATTGTCTGTGACCTCCTAAGGGATGTCTCTTGCATCCATGGTAAAGATTTATTCTCAGCCTGGAAGGTTACCTCCAGGTCTTTCCTTAAAAAGCCTCATTGGATTGAGTCACTATTGGAATAAATCTACAAATGGAGATCCTTCTTGTCAATGGCCGCATGATGGATCTTTTGAATGGGAAAAACTTCTATATTTGAAAACTATTTGAGAGAGTTCTCACCACAAGCAGCTGCCTTATTGGTATTTATGGGAAGATCAAATTGAAAAGAAAAGTCCCCAAAATAATGCCTAGCCTTAGGGAATCTCTTAGTAAAATGAAAGAACAGGAGTCAGACTTAGAACAAAGATTAAAAAGCAAATTTAATGAAAATTCCCCTTCTCCTCCCTCCTATACTCCCCTGCATCCCCAACTCCCTGTCCCTGACTCCCCAGATCTGTTGGATCTCTGGGCCCCTGGTTTCAACTCCCACTCTCAAGACTTAGCTCCTCAGCCAGTTCCCTCAGTTCCTAAAACCCCAACTTCTCCAAACAACATTCAGCTGCCCATTTTCACTTCTCTCTCTTTAGCAGACTTACAGGGGGCACTCAGGCCTGACCTCCAAGCCAGGGACATACAGGTCACTTGTGTAAATGCTGAAAGCTGGGAAATGAATTCAGTAGAAGCAGCCAGGAGAGGCAGGAAGGCTGGCTTTGCTGTCCCATCTAAGTCCTCCTACTTCCCAGGGCTCTGTCATCAGGCTCTGACAGCTTCAGGCATTCCTACACAGCGTCCATTGTGGATGTGTCCTGGACCTCCACTGCAGAGAATTCATGTCCCCTGGACAGCAGCCAATCCATTAAATTATAAAACTCTCCTGCCTCCATTGTCAGAAGATGCCACTAAATTTAGAGAGGAATTAGAAAGATTAGTGGCTATTCATAACCCCATCCACAGAGATCTTGACTGGCTGCTAAGGGGGGGTTCATCCAGCCCAGGATTACACTGTAGTTATCAGAGAGGCCAGAGGGCCCCCTGGATGAAACCCCCCTCATAGGGGAAATAAATGGCCAGACCCTCTCCCAGGCCCTCCTGCAAATTTCCAGGCTCCTAAAGTTATGACAAGAGATTCTCACATATTGAGGTATGTGGGGTAACTATTTTGGCTCAAAACTGATTGGGCTTGAACTAAAATGTCTGACTTATGGCCTATCAAGCATACATTGTACATCTGCTTAACCATTAAAGAATACACTCTCTTAAGATAAGAATGCACACTTCCCCTCCTAGGCCCTATTGGTAACGCCCAATTAATCCCTTTCCTGACATCAGGGCCTCCTTGACCTGCTAATTTGCAACTGGATACCTCTTTGAAATTTTGATGAAAATGTATCCTGGTTGTGTTTCATGTATGTTCTTTGTTCTTAAAAGATATGACTGTACTGAAAACCATGCTTCTCTGGAACACTTTCTAAGGCCTTCCCAGATTATAATCCTCATTCTGGCTCAAGTAAACTCACCTTATTTCTCTTATCTATAGAATGGTTATTGGTTATTTCATTGGTCAAAAATTGAGTTATGC